CGCCGAGCCCGCCTCCCGCTCCCTGCGGCCCGCGCCCTTTGTCAGCTCGGTGTCCTTCCGCGCAAAGCCCTTGCGACAAACGCGGCCGAGCTGCGCCTGCGCGGGCGTTATACGGCTGCTCGGGTTTGCATTTACAGCATCCGTCAGCGGTACAGCAGGATTCCATACCAAACCTCGGGGGCTGCACGGGCCTTCCAGGTGACTCAAAATGAGGACGCTCCTGTGGATAACGAGCCTTCCTGAAGACTCACATTGCCAAATAAGGATTTCTGAGACTAATTGCAACTTTTTTTTTTTTTAAAAAAAAGGCAGCTGTTTATTTAAGTATTCAAAGTAGCTGGGCAATTATCACAACCAGTCTGGGGTAACACTTCAGACACATGCTGTGGTGCCAGAGAAAAACCTTCCCTTTAAATACAATTTTCTTTTCATATAGTTGTATATTTCTTCCAGACAGACGTGTGCATCCAACAGGACAGTGCTTCTGAGAAACTATTTTACATCTATAAAGACTGAAGAACAAACCATACAGATTCTCATCTGGATTCTGGAGCTAGTACAGGCTACAACCCTAAACATCAGCAGGGCATGCTTGTCTAAAGCTAACTTTTCACCATTTATTCAATCACATAACATGTTTTATAACCAGTTAAAATATTATATAAAAAAATCTACTCATTATCACAGTCCATACTACACTGTTTCTTACGCCAAACTGGGACAAGAGAAGTTCAGGAGCCAAGAGGAGCCCAGGATGACCATCACCTCAGGAAAGGGAGTTTATTCATCCGAGTCCAGGTCACTGTCTCCTGCAATGGAATGGAAGTCCTCACTGTCTTCCTCATCCTCAGACAGATGGACTTGACTTAATACACTTGGTCCACAGCGCTGCTGTTCTTCCTCTTCCTCCTCTTCTGAGACCTCATACCCTCCAATACTGCTGAAACTAGTATCTCTTGTGTTGGACTTTGGGTCTGGTTCTTCATAGCTGCCATAACTGAAAGGGAAAAAAGATACTCTTACTATACCATCATTTCAAGTCAGCTGCTGCTAACAGACAATTCTGGTTTTGACTCCTGTAAAGGTTCCCTGGCTTGAACAAGTGTCCCTTGTGGAACACTCGGAACCACTGTGCACTTAACTTCTGTCAATGGCCAGCTTTTTAAAATAAGAAAACGGTTCTCCTGATGAACAATTGTCTACCAGCATCCTCATCCCACTCTGATACACTCAGGGCAGGAAACACAGATCACTAACACCTTCTGTCTGTCACCTTTACTGCAGGAGAAAGGCAAACAGCACATTCTCATTATCTTCTCTAGCATTTTCTGCTCAATATTATCAAGGTCCTGGGCTGGACCATTTGCCTGACGCAGCATAGCTACCTGTATAATAATTTATTCAGCAAGTATCAATAAAAGCATTAAGGGACTGAATTCCACGAGTAGAAAAAGAACAGCGAATCTAATGCTAATAATCTACAAAATGGCGAGAGAAGAAAAAGTAGGTCAGTGTTCTCTCAAGTGAATGCAAAAAAATAAAGCTAATATTGCTATACTTGTCATTT